GGAAGTTTTAGGTTCTTCATGAACATTTAGAAGTACATCAAGTGATTTCTCCTCATTTGTAGCTGTCCTCTTTCGTCCACTACCAGGAATATTTTTGACACTACCTGTTTCGTTAAACTTGCGTAAATTTCGATACACTGTCGACTTAGAAATTAGAGACATTCTGTCAGGAAATGTAGCATTAAACAAATCGGCAGTTTCTTGTAAACCTCTCTTTCTATCTCCAAAACCAACCATCATCAACAGTGTAATTCTTTCACGTTCACTTAGTTCCATTGTTAGTAATAATAATCAAATACTTAATCTGTACCAAAGAATACCTACCCAAGAAGCGAAACTGAATGAGTTTTCGTATGTACCAAAGCAAGGGAATTTAATACACTGGGAAACGTATAAAAATTAATCAGTTTTTGTCGTTTGGTTCATAAGAATTAAACACATACTAAAGTATCAATGACAGAAAATTCTTACTATTTTCATTATGTCAAATAGATTATTTTAATAACGAAATAAGCACTGTAGGTACAATAAAGACAGTTACTACACAATAGCGAAAGCAGATGATCTGGTCATTCTGCAAATAGGGAATTTTGAGAACAATTATGGAACAGAAGACAAAAATAATCCTTTTTTTTTTAAGAAAACGGATGAAAATGGAATTAATACACAAAACAAAACTTTGCAACAGAGGTGAAGTGCCTAGATAGCAGCTGTTCAAAAGAGCATACATTACTTATGAACAATGCCACCAAACCGTGGGGTGCACCTGGGGTTTCTCCCCCAAAGTCATCACATGGACTTACATGGCCATCATAAGACCTATGCTAACATACAGTGCAGTTGTCTGGGTACCGAAAATTCATAAATTGACAGCTATCCGCAAAATAGAAGAAATTCAAATAAGAGCATGTCTCAACATAACAGGAGCCATAAAAACCACACCAGCCAGAGCAATGTAAGTAGTTCTTAGTCTCACTCTTTTTGATATTTACATCAATGATGACAATGACACGCCTCTGCACGGTTGCAATAGAACCTGATGTACGATCTGGTGAGGCGAGACGTCGCTTTTGGCAAAAGGAGCTCGATACGCTCCCACTATTTCAAGCCATATAAAGTTGTAATAGAACAAATAGAAGAGCCGGAAGTGGCAGGTTCGATTCATATCTACACCGACGGTTCTAAAACAAAAATGCTCAGGATGTGCAATATACTCCAATTCCTTAAACCTCAACATAAAATGAGCTGTGAGAAATAATGCCAATGTAGTTCACGGAGCTCACGGAGATTCTCATAGCAGCAAAAGAAATCACCAAAAACAATATCATTGGTAGGAACATGCTTACCTATGAAGATAGCAGATAAGCACTACTTACCCAGAAGACTACGAATTTACTCAGGGTTAGTACTAGAATGTCACGAAGCTTTGGCAAGAGTATCCATCCAACAATGTGGTTAGCTTAAGATGGATCAAAGATAGCAGATAAGCACTACTTACCCAGAAGACTACGAATTTACTCAGGGTTAGTACTAGAATGTCACGAAGCTTTGGCAAGAGTATCCATCCAACAATGTGGTTAGCTTAAGATGGATCAAAGATAGCAGATAAGCACTACTTACCCAGAAGACTACGAATTTACTCAGGGTTAGTACTAGAATGTCACGAAGCTTTGGCAAGAGTATCCATCCAACAATGTGGTTAGCTTAAGATGGATCAAAGGTGGCGTCACATCGAAAGGTAGCCTTCTTACTGATTCACTACCCAAGAAGGCGGCCAACCAAATACTTTTGGACCTGGCCCTTCTATTGGACTGATAACATCGGTAGTGACATAGACCTAATTAAAGAATATTCCCTTGTGAAATTGAAGGAAAGATAGGATAAAACAAGAAACTGCTGAGTCACCAGAGAACTTTTAAGTTATTCTGACAACACTACAACAAACAAATACTTGACTATGACTAAACAGAATATGCGTCTGATCAAAGGCATGTTGACTGGTAATTGCCAAATACGGAGGCATCTCCATATCATGGGGCTGTCAGAATCCATACCCTGCAGGGGATGCGAACAATAAGATGAGACCATTGAACATACCCTCTATGATTGCCAGTCGCTCCCATTTAATAGAAGATTTTTTTCGGCCGATATAAGAGAAGCACCTTTTGGCGACGTTGTCAACTACATTAAATCTGTATGCTGGCTCACAAGCTAGGAGGTGCCTATCATTTTAAGAGGATACACAATGGGTCTAGTGAGGCCTAGGTGCCGTGGGATAACTCACCCTCTACACGTTACATATCCAGAAGTACTGTAGGTAGCTGTAAATGCATTTTGATTGCAACCGGATATCAGCGAATTGGTTCCTCGAAGTGAGTTGATCATATATTTTAATTATTATTTTGTATTATTGTTTATTTACTGTTTTAATTCGAATGGTTTGAAAAACAAAAAAATAACATATTTAAATAAAAGACTAAGAAATTAAACGATGCATCATTTTACAGCCAGATGCAAGAACGTTCAATTAAATTTACGAATAACGCAATATATTTTTTTTTCTTGTAATACAAATTTTAAAATTATCTAATATTTCTAATTACTACTTAGTTAAATACAACTACTTAACTATGCTGCAATTTTCACTAAACGCTAATAATAATAATATTATACCAAACGTTGCTCTACATAAAAGACAGCTATATTTGACATTAAACCACCTCTAAAACACTGAGAAAGCAGTTTTTTGTCCACGAATCGCTCATTTAGTTTCGCTTCTTGGGTAGGTATTCTTTGTCTGTACACTAAAGATATTTGTATTTACTGTGATTTAACGTTAAAATTTTTTGTTAATAGATCATGATATTGCCAGGAAACCGAAAAAAAATATATAAATACAGGGTCATCCATTTAAAATGTGTCTTATTAAAGTATAATCTAATTTAATTGTTATTGATAAGACCGTGAGTCTGGGACCCACTTAATGTACCATTGATGAAATCAGACAGATCATACGAAGTCGAAAAAAAAAATATAAATACAGGCTGATCCATTTAAAATATTGCCCGATGACGTCATATCTTGAAAATCATTACGTATGCGGGAAATCTGTAAACGTCAATAAATAGTACATAAAATGTACAAAAACTTTTATCTAAGTCAAATTATCGTACAAGACATAGCCATATAATCAAGTGTTCCGCCCATATAGAATGACCCTGTATAATATATTATGTTAACAGTTTACCTACTTTAGAAAACGATTTTAACAAAAATCTTCCTAGAATTTTATTCATGGAATAGATGAACTACATCCAGTGGCGAAGCTTCCATTGATGCGGGTGATGCGTCGTATCCCTTTAAAATAGTGTTATCAGTTAATTTTGTATTTGAAATAAAATCAATAAGATCTTTTATAATAATTTAAAACTATCAGTGAATTTATTTAAATAATTAAATTCAATTTCAATTATTTATATGTGTATTTGTCGAGCTTTATAGAATACGCTACCTACAAATAGAAATATTTCGACAGCGCAATGGTGCGAGATACGATGTCTCTTATTACATCTTGAATGCCTGGTGGGGTGAGCCGAGGTCAGCGACCTTTCTGGCCGTGGTCCGTGATTTCGCGTTTCCAGTCCTGTTTTCACTGATGAGTGATGCGTTTTCTTAAACGCATCTCGTTTGCGAATGCGGGTATTGTAATCGCGTTCTTCCCCTTTATTTGAAGAAAATGTAATAAATGATTTCGCAAATCTGCACACTAAAAGGATTGATCTAAATTTTTAATTTAAAATCTAACAGATACGTTCACATTTTTGTTTTTTTTTACGTAAACTGTCCTATTTTAATTTAGTTTACTATTTTTTTATTATTTTGATTATTTTAAACTGCCATATTTTTTTGCCTACTTTATTATTTTTTAAGTCCAAAATTAAAAGCTTTATTAAAAAAACTTGATTATTTTTATAAAATGTGAATCGCAATTACCTATTACACCCCCTTGTATCGACGCCACGCTACGCCATTGACTACATTGTTGTTATTGTATTCTGCAGTTTTTCCATAGACGGCATATATTTACGACACGTCACGCTTAATTAATAATTATTTATTTATCGACTGGGTACCACAGTATGCCGTGGCGCTCAGTATTAATTTACGGACCTTTTAGTGGTTTAGCGATATATAGTTTCTATTCCAAACTAGACCATGTGAATTTTTGGTTAATTGTATGATTTGTTATAGGATTTGGTGGGTGCCGTATTAGCAAGAATTTAATTAAAAATTTAATTTCCTCTTGATATGGCATCCAGATTACAAATCACAGTGCGTTACCGTTTCGATGATGGTGGATGTAGATTATATTAAATTAGGACTATAGGATCTATTGTGGATATCCTTTAATCATTATTTAAAGTACCTTGTCCAGTTCGGTCTTTTGTAGTAGACTCCATAGACAGGGAAGTAGTTATCCGGCATTTCTAGGTGTCCTTGGTTTTTCTTCTCCAAGTGTAAGGGATCTCATTCTTAGTAGATCTTCCTGGTCTAAGATCCGAAGATAGGTCGACCTTCACCCATCTGTTTAACGGATGAAAGTTTCCTTTTATTAAATAATGTTTATAAATATACCGCAAATGGGTTGCCTAAAAAAAGACGGTCATGACTATTTTCTTGAAGTAAAAAAAAACGACACCCTGTAAAGTATTCTCCAGATGCTTCGACTACGCCCAAACTCAGCTCACCGCAGGATAGATTAGAGCTTAAGTTTAAAAGTTGGTGTTTTTCTGTTCATCCGTTTTTGAGTTATCTTTTAAATTACAAATTCGCACTGTTCGTCAAATATCTCGAATTAGGTCCATTTTAGGGAAAACATGTATAGGAACAAAATTATAAAGAATAACATCACAAGCAACTTTTATCATAATTCCTATACTTTTCTTATCTGTATATGGAAAAGAAAGTAAAAAATGGCCGTGACCGTATTTTCTTAGTCAACCCATTTGCGGTATATTTATAAACATATTTTATTTAATAAAAAAAAATCTTTCATCCATTAAACAGATGGGTGAAGGTCGACCTTACTTACGGATCCTGTACTATCCCGACGAAATCGGTATAAGGTATCTTCTGTCAGGCCGATATTATAGATATGTTTGTTAAGCCTACAAATGCCTTGTTAATAGACCTACCAGTACTCTAGTATTTTTTCTATTATGGTGAATACCGTTTCTTGTTTCTGAGTCAACAGGGTTTGTCCCCTTATAGAGCTTGATTTTTGCTAAAAAATTCATGTTGATAGCTTCTGGTTTTTGATTCCTATTTTTTTTTATTTCGTCCCCCTTCAACCCCCATTTTATACAGATTTTTTGTTAACCAGTATTCGCCACTTATAGAGTTTGATTTTTGTTAGGATTTTTTAAATATTTCAAGCCCCTCTTAACCTCCCATTTTTATTCAGATTTTTTTCAGAGTTAATAGGCTTCATCTTCTTATACAGCTTGATTTTTACTAAAAATGTCATGTTGATATCGCTTTTCGTCTTTTGGTTTAGGATTTTGTTCTTATTTCAACTTTGTCTACTTATAGAGCTTGATTTTGCTAAACATTTCATTTTCGCCTTTTTTAGGTATGTAAAAATAAAGGCCTCACATTCTCATTTGGTAATAATCATTAATATAATTATTTATTTTATTTTACTAATCAAATTAAAATACATTACATTGAATTCATACAGGTACGGAAATCTAAACGCGAACCCTCTATTTTACAATGAATTGGGCAGGGTAAAATAGAATCACGCGTGAAACAAAGACTGCTAAGGCATTACCTACACAGTACCAATGGCGGATTAAGACTACTTGAGAATCTAAACAAGTAGCCTGTGGGCTCCATAATTCATAAGTAAATTAGTATCGGTCTTTAAAAAAAAATTATGTATTAAATACAAGATATATCATTACGCACCTTAGAATAGCTTAGAATATGTTTGAAGGACGAAAGAGATATGATTTTCAATTTCGAAAAAGATCATTCCGCTGTGCAGTTTGATATCATCAGGCCTAAAAATATACGCAGGGCTGTGTCCACATTCAATTTTATCATCATGTATAAATTTTTACAATTGTGCGCGAGTTTGATGTTAACTTGTGCGAGGCAAATCATTAAAACTTAGTTTTTATGACGTGTGAATGAAACTGTTGAATATCGGTTCCTAAATCGGTATATGCCTTTACTAAATTTCTACAACGCTGACCGTATTCTGAAGTTTGATCGGGACACATAATTTTATCGACATCGGATATTTTAGTCAGGAATGAGAATTTGTCTGCTATTTCTTTGTATATCTCTCCCCTGCTTCGCATCTCTACATTTAATTTATCAATAACGCCATAAAAACTCATGATTTTAAATTGTTCTCTCGGGCTGGAACTTACTTCAGGACCGTCATTGGGCATTTTCTTTCTTCGTCTTTGACGGGTGTCTTCAAAATCCACATCTGGTAGCTTTTCTTTTGCTCGGGCTTCTAAATTATCAAAGTCGCCTCCCCATACAGCACACATTATTTCAGAAGTGTTTCAGATATATTTCAAAAGTTTCAAACATATAACATTTCAAGCACAAGTTTATGAAATATTTTAGTTTAATATTTCACTGAAAATGTTTCTGAAACATGTTACACAAAAGACTAAACGGGTTATGTTGTAAAAAACCAACACTTAATGAACAATTTTTGACTTGTAAAAAGATGGGATATGTAGTTTATTATCCAGCCAGAGCATAGAAAAATAAAAAGCCAGATACAACCCTATATTCTAAATAATTATAGATTGGATTTGTCAGTTTTTGTCATTTCCTTTATTTGTTATTTATGCGTTGGCTGTTATATGGGAAGCAGAATATGTCTTTAGAAATTGAGGTAAGTACTACATCAGTTTTATTTATTAGTTCTACGTTCTACAGACGATTGTAAAGCGGACTTCATCTTTTTTTTAGGCCTAAATAGTGTTTGTTTTATTATAGTTAATTTAAAACAATATTAATAAAACTATTGTTAATCAAATAATTTGTATAAATCCTTTTTAATTACCTATAATTTATTTCAGAATAGTGCAAAGGAGGTCCTTTCGCCACACCTCTCGCCTCAGATGTTAAAAAAAAAGTTATTAGATTATGACTAAAATTAATTTTTTTTTCTAATAGTTGAAGTCCTTATTTATCTAATACTGATTTTTTAACTATACCTTACCTTGCAAATTTTTGAGAATTTTTTTTTTTTAATGTGAATATTTGTACAGTGTCTCACGAGAAAGTAAGTCCTCAACAACAATTCTCGAATTATACTATTATTTATTGATTAGATGGAGTAGAAAAAAACTAAAAATAAGGTTTTTGAAATATTTAGATTTTGTTTTATACAATAAAATATATATAGTAAACCGTGGAACTTATTGAGAAATTAATATTAAAAAATCACAAAAAATTTTCAAGTAACTTAGTTGAAAATTTTTTGTGATTTTTTAATAATAATTTCTCAATAAATTCCACGGTAACCTATATATTTTATTGTAAAAAACAAAACCTAAATATTTCGAAAACCTTATTTTTAGTTTTTTTCTACTCCATCTAATCAATAAATAATAGTAAAATTAATTATAATTCGAAAATTGTTGTTGAAGTCTTACTTTCTCATAAGACACTGTACAAACACACACATTTTAAAAAAAAATTCTCAAAAATTTGCACGGTAAGGTATAGTTAAAAGTTCACTATTAGATAAATAAGGACATCTACTATTAGAAAAAAATTAATTTTAGTCATAATCTAATATTTTTTATTTAACATTGGTGGCGAAAGGACCTCCTTAAATGAATTCGTGGAAATTAAGCAATTCACCAGATTTGGAGCTGTGCCAGTAAAAGTAACATCCAAGTTTCCTGCATAAAGTATTAAGGAACATCGTCGATGCACCCTGGTACTGTCGCAATACTGATCTTCATAGGTATCTTAAAGTGGACTGTTGAAAATACAATAAAAAAAATTGCCAGTAGTCACCAACAACGACTGCTCCAACATGGAAACCTTGAGATTATCCAGCTCCTCAACAAAGCCAATCTAATAAAAAGACTCAAGAGACCCAAGCCTTTGAGTTAGTTCAGTGATGTTAGATTAAAGCAGAGTATAGTGCGGTTAAGTGTTATACGTTAACAAAATAATTATTAGACTCTAAGGTACACTAGTGAGTAGAATCTTAGTTTATGAAGTTTTTCATCCCTAAATTAGAATAAAATTGCTAATTGATCTTAATGATTAGATTGTAATAATCGTAAATGTTTCTTTACTTAGGGCATTTATTAAATAAATAAAAAAACCTATTTGTTTCAGATTAGTGCATTTAAAGGAATTGATATATTTGTGGGATCGATTTTGAGTCATTGTCTTAGAGCAGTTGGACACCCTTCTTCAGTTACGCTGTATATTATCACATTTGTCTATTATCTTCCTCTATTCGATTCCAAAAATGTATACCCGATATGTAAAGTGAATCGTTTAGAAGTTGCATTTTTTGAGCTTCTGTTTACGTTGTTTCTCTTTCTTTCCCATTTTGTCTTCTTTTTTTTTCCTCTCTTCTATTTTTTCTAAGATCCCCTTTATATAAATTTTTGACTTGACTGGTCATAAAAACCTCAGCATTAAAATTATGGATACTTTTCATTGAAATTAGGCATTTATTCATGTAATTATTAAATAATATCCATAGCGGGCGTACGTATCCTACTGTCATAATATAACATATATTTGTTTCACACATATGATTTTCAAGTTATTTGTGCGTAGTTACATGTTTTTGTTTTGTTTTATTATTCAAGTTAACATTGACTTTGAATATCAACTTTTTTTTTCATAATTAAGATAGATAGGTATAGGCAATATATTATACACTTACTTACGACAAAGTTTCGCGCGGGCAACTTTCAGTCTCAAGCGGCAAAGTATTACTTTTCGCTCTTAATACACAAATAGCTATTGTAGCACCATTCCGATTATTTAATTGCGACACTTCGTATGACATAAATGAATTGAGAATAATCATATTTTATAATTTTAAACAAAAAAAAGTAGGTCCATATTTTAAAAATAAAGTTAAGGTGATTACAGCACCCCCTTATAATTTTCGGACAAGGATATCTCAAAAAGTAATTTTTTTAGAAAATTTAAATTTGGACAAAATAAATTAGGCAATAATATCTAGAATATGCATATTTTTTAAAGTTTTAATTCCTTCCAGTTTCCGAGAAAAAAAATCAAAGGGCTTTAAATTTTGAAATATCATAATGAAAATAAATGCATTCCTCAACTTTTTGAGATATCCTTGTTTGAAAATTATAAGGGGGTGCTGTAATGACCTTAATGGTGGTGAAGACACAAAAGGCCGTCTTGAAATTTTGATACATAATTATTGTGTGTATCATTTTAATCAAAAATGCATTCCACATTTTTAAATGTTTTTAAAAATACAGGGGTTAATAAAATAAATAATACAATTTCTTGTTTTTCGATGTATAATAAAATTTATAAATAAACTCCTGGACAAAATTAACGCAACATCATAAATTTGTCACATTTTGGATTCTATTTTTTTTTTATAATTTATGATCCGATTTGAATGATTTTTTTTTGCATTATAGCTTGGTTCTTTGACAATGTCATAATTTTCGCTCTTTATAATAAAAAATGTAACGTTTTTTCCGAAAATTCGTATCACCCTGCAACCGAAACATATAGCAGTTGACATTAGACGGTAGGGCCATCGTTCGCCAACATTTTCTTTTTTGGTTTACTTCATTATTTCTGTTATTAAAGGAGATACGCCCTTTTATAGCATAACATGTTTTAATAGCCTTTATTATTCAAAACATTCATTGTTAAATGTTTTCAAGTAGGCTATGGGCCTTTTCTGACATTTCAAGCGATGTGTCAACAGATGTTGAGTTTTAAAGTTACAAAGGTAAAATAAAATTCAATATACTGATAAAAAATGTTCAGAAAATGCCTATTAAACGTTCGTTTCGTATACCCAGTTGCCCGACGAGTATTTTAATCTTGAAAATTGAATGTATCGGTAGAAGAAGTAGTAAGAGCCTTAACTTTGGTGGATGAGGGCTATTCGATGTGTAATGAATCGTCCAAAAAATGTATTGGTAGAAGAATCAGTAAGAGCCTTAACTTTGGTGGATGAGGGCTATTCGATGAGTAATGTTGCTAATGTGACAGGAAGACATCGTTCGACTATAAGTCGTATAGTTGAACGATTTAACGAGACAGGATCTTACTCTCGAAAGTCAGGACAAGGACGTTTAAATGAGGCTGGTTTTAGAAACAGAAGACCGGCAAAGAAACAATTACTCACCAAAGAGCACAGAGTTGGAAGATGCGTTTTGCCAGAAATTATCAACATTAGACTGTTAATGACTGGAAGGTTTTATTTTCTGATGAAACAAGAGTTAGTCTCAATTCTCCTGATGGGCGTGAACGTGTTTGGCAAAGGGCAGGAGGGAGATTTGCAAGTTGCGATATCTCTCCAAAAATCCCGTTTGGTGGAGATTCTGTAATGTTTTGGGGAGGAATATGCTTCAACGGGCGATCAGTTAGTCCCTATACATGTAAGATCAATGAACGCTGATAATAGGGACCGTGCATGAAATATAGAGGCAGCACTACTGCCGAAGTTAGCCCTCTCTAGTGTTTAATTTTAGAATTAAATGGGGTAAACATTGCAAGTAAATAATAAAGCATATTTTTTTAAAGTATTAAATTTAGTTAAATATAGATACCAGCCGGTAACAAACAATAGTGTACATGGTCAAAATGATATAAAATGTGAAAAATTATTAAAATCTTGACATGTATATACATTTTGAGCAAAAAGATTTAAATGGCTAAGTGACAATAAATTGTAAAATTGTACCTCAAGCAAGTGTATCCAATGTCAAAATATCGGTATTTAGTAACACTGAATTTAAAAGTATTACATTAACATTTAAATAATGTAAATTAATAAAAAAGATTTGAGAATAATAATTCTTTTTAGCTTTATGTTAGTAGAAATGTCATTCATTCATCTTAGACGTTTATGAGACACTCAATCAGGGCCCCCGCAACTGCGCATGCAACGCGTGCACCGCACGCGGGCGCACCTCTAAAGGGGCGCCAAACTGGAGGTCTGTATACAATTCGAATTTTTAATTTTTCTAACGATTCCAATGAACAAGGCACTAAGACACTAAAGAAATCAAAAATATTTTTATCTCAATTCATGATAATATAATCAATAATGTTATCGAAGTTTATGTTCGTTGATATAATGACCTATTCCTATTGTGACAGAAAACATATCTATTTTTGAAATCAAATAGCTATTCAATTAGCGTTAATTATTAAATATAATAAAATCAATAGGTTAGTTAATTCTGTGTGCAACATGCAATACCATAACTACCCGTATAAAGTAAAACATGTCGATTTTTCCTGTCCAGACTCGAATACTGTACGAACGAAGAGTAAGTTTCAAATTAGATCTTGTCAATTTTTCCTGTCCAGACTTGAATACTCTACGAACTACGTTTTTCCTGTCCAGG